CCCCCCCCCCCCAATCAAAATAAAATATAAAACAACAACAGCAAACAAACAAAAAACTAGATAAATAAATTTGATAAGATAAAAAATGATAGATACAATAATTTTTTAAAACAAATCTGCTAGAAAATCTATACGTTTTGTTTGTGGTAGTGTTTACGCGTTGAGTTTTCCCCCATGAATGTGATTTACAATGAGGTTAGGGGAAGCAATGCTTTGACAGGAAGCTATATATGAAGGACATACGCTGTGTTTGTATGTGGGAAACATGCAAATGAACCCTGGAGTGGCGCCGAACAGGAAGACATTTAGAAAATTATTATTTCTCACCGGTCTGTTTGGCGTGAATGGACGTCTGTAATGTTCCGGGTGGCCGCCGTTTTTTGGACGTTCAACGTCTGTCCAGGTCCATTTCCGCATGGGGAGAATTGTTATATTGTTGAGTATCTCAGAGTATCTCAGAGTAGCTCAGAGTAGCTCAGAGTAGCTCAGAGTATCAAGGTACCCCGGAAATAACAGTTCACTAGAGAGTGACAAACATACAAAAGAAGTAGAGGAAAATGACGATAGTAAGGATGAGGAAAGAAAAAGCAGCAGTTCCCCTTATGTTGTTCTGGCACAGTATGAGCATGACATTGATAAGTCAGCCCATGTATAATTCTACTGTGCATAAGAACATGTTAATGTCCCTCCTTTGAGAATGGCCTAAAGACAGTTATACATGTATGACCATTATTGTCGATGTGCATATCCAATTTTTTAATGGCCTTTTGCGTCTTGACAGACGATCTTAAAGCGGAGTACACATGATACAGCTTTGTGTGGTAGAGGAAGAAGATTTCTCAAGTATTACTTCCGTCCCTTCCGCTCTTTGCTTCCTTGATACATGAATGCTCCAAGGGAGAGACCTAGTCAGTACGTTCGGAATTAAGGAAGACTTTTAAGGATGTGTCTTCCGATCTTACAGCTGGTGTGATGAAAATACATAGTGCACGTTGCACATGATATAGATCCCTAGGTTTTTGAATACTTTTTATACATGGGGTTTGTACTTTTTATTTTAATAATAATTTTTTGGCACTTGCATCACAGTCAGGTCACATAAGTGCCGAAGATTAGAGGTGTAGTGTCACTGGGTAATAGTATTCAAACAAAAGGAGGGTAGGTAAGGACGATAGGTGTTTGATTTTAAAAAATGAGCAAGCCACACAAGAACACCCACCAATGACCCACTGAAAAATCTTTTTCCTAACATTTATCTGAAAACTGTGTTAATCTGTGGCCATTTTTTTCGCCCCAGGATGATTTTTAAAAAGGAACAAAGCACACACCAACCACCCACCAACCACACTGAAAGTCTTTACCCAAACATTTGTCTCCAAACTGTTCTCGGTCCTGTCGGAGACGGACGTTACACTAGGAGGTCCTGCCTCTTAAATAACCTAATAGTGTTGATAGGGGCGTTAAACTCGTGCCATTTCACCCCCCCCCCCAAACTGTTCATCTGTGTCCATATGTTATCTCTCCCTAGGATGAGCCACTTCGACATCAAGAACTACCTGGAGAAGGTCTACAAGGTCCCCGTGCTCAATGTCAGGACGGACGTCCTCCGAGGTGAGCAATGGTTCTGGCTGATTGTGTCCGTGTTCTGTGCCTTTGTTGTTGTTGTTGTTGTTGGTGGTGGTGGTGGCTTTGGTTGTTGTTGTTGTTGTTATTGTTGTTGTTGTGTGTGTGTGTGTGTGTGGTAGCCTATCCGTTCGAAATTTTTGGAGCCCAGAAGAGCATGCTCTTCGCCAGGGC